CATATATGTGTACACGCGTGCACATGTATGCATGTGTGTTGCCCCTGCATGCAATGCATGTGTGTGCGTGCACGTGAACATATACAGACATGCTCTTCCTTTTGAACCATAAACTCCCTGCATGTTGATTCAATCTGTAGCAACTGCATTTTTTTCCCATGAGAGAGACAGAGAGAAAGAAAGAGACAGAGACAGGGAGCCTCGATGAGGTCACGCCCTTGATCGCCCAGATGGCCTCCAGTCCTGTGAGCTCCGTGGGCCGCCACGGCTGGGCCGATCCTGCGTCTTCCCGTCTGCCCCTGTGACCACATGGTTTATCCACGGCCATGCTGCACGCTTGGACCCGGTTAAACCAGCTGTGCCCCTGTTGGCTAATGGCGACACGCGCCCTGGTTGGGGGTAGAGAAGGTGGTCCTGGAGCCAGCAGGTGGCAGAGCAGCTACATCGCTGGACTCCCACATGGCCGACTGCGGTTCGAGTCCCGGACCGGGGGACTTAAAACTCATGCCAGGCGTGTGTGCATGCATGCCCAAGATCCCGGGAGGAGAATGGAGGAGAAGGGATTGTAGCGTGGCCATTACCCTGGAGGGGAGGGTGATTTCTCACTCTTCCTTTCTCTGTCTCTGTCTCTCTGTCTCTCTCTCTCTGGCCAGCACACACTCCCTAAGGCAAAATCCTCTTAAAATAAAAAAGACTCTCATATCCTTCTCCTGACCTCACAACAGCCATTGCCCAAAGGAGGCCAGCTCTCAGGACTGTGTGCAAAGGCTCTCATGGCTCCAGGCCCAGCCGACCTCGGACTCCCCATCCATCCTCCCATTTTGGCCTCTCCACCTCTGTAGCACCTCACATTCTAGGGGCAGCGTCTGCAGCCCTCCAGGACCTGGCAAGGCCTTTGGCAGGCATGCATGTGCGCGTGTGCACACCTATGTGCATGCATGTGCATGCCTCTGTGTGAATGCATGTGTGCATCTGTGTGCACGTGTGGGCATGTTGTACAAACACGTGCATGTGTCATGTGTGTGTACATGTATGTGTGCCAGGCTGGTCCGTGGCCAACAAGCAAGACCACACCCTCTCGGCCCCAAGGTCTCCTGGGAATGCAGTGCTCAGCCTGCTCTGAGCCCCGAGGCTCACTCCGGAGCAAGCCCTTCCTCTGCCCTGATCAGCAGCTTTTTCCTGCCCTGGGAGTGCGCCCCATCCCCCAGTTCATTCTACCTAGAACCGATCAGTCCCACACAGCAGGTACCAAGAGAAACACGGGGGTCCTCTCTGTAAGGTGCACGGCTGCTCTCGGCCGGCGGGAAGACACTGTAGATGAATCCGCAGACGGTGGGGCCAGCAGATGGCATAGCAGTTACATCCCTGGACTCCCACGTGGCCGACCACGGTTCGAATCCCAGACCCAGTGCCTTGGAAGTGTGTGCGTGCCCAAGATCCCGGGAGAAGAATGGAGGAGAAGGGATTGCTACATGGTCATCCTCCCTGGAGGGAGATTTCTCTTTCCATGGGTGATTTCTTTCCCTCTCTCTGTCTCTCTCTCTCTACACACCCTAAGACAAAAACCTCTATAAAAAAAAAAATCAATGGAGAAAAGGTGGGAGAATGGATCGGAGCAGACATGGAGGTGACAGGGTACAGGGAAGGGGTCTGGTTTGCTGAGGGCAGAGCAGGGTGGGGAAGGCTGAAGGGTTTGAGGAGAATATCCGGGGCACTAATCTGCTTGGAGCTGTGCACCCTGGAAGGACTACTTATTTATTTATTTATTTATTTATTTATTTATTTATTTTTAAGAGAGTTCTTAGCTATAGGGTGCCAGAGAGACAGAAAGTGAGAAATCACCCCCCAGGGGGCATGGCCACGCTGCAATCCCTTCTCCTCCATTCTCCTCTCGGGATCTTGGGCACGCACGCACACGCGCCCAGCGTGAGTTTAAGCCACCGGGTTTGAGATTCAAACCAGGGTTGGCCATGCGGAAGTCCAGTGACCTAACCACTACACTATCTGCTGGTCTTCCTACCCCTTCTCCTCCAGAGGCATGATTTGGGGCACGCACACACACATACACACACAGGAGAAGGGATTGCTACATGGCCATCCTCCCACGTGCCCAATATGATTTTCAAGCCACCAAGTCCAGGACTTGAACCACGTTTGGCCACGTTTAACCCCGCACCACCTGCTGGCCCTCTGCAGTTTTAAAATACTTTTTAATTAAAAGAAAAATACATAAGTGGGGGAAAAGAGGCAATAATGAAACAGCCCCAAGGTAATGGAGTGACTTGTCTAAAAATATCAGCAGAGGAGCCAGCAGGTGGCGTAGTGGTTAAGGCGCTGGACTCCCACGTGCTCAGCCGTGGCTCCGAGTCTTTGATGGTTTCAATGGTTTGGACTTCAGTGACAAATCTTGGGTGTCTATTAAGTCTAATGGGGAACCAGCAGTTAGCGTAATGGCTATGCCACTGGACTCCCATATAGTCGATTGCGGTTCGAGTCCCAGACCCGGTGGTTTAAACTCACGCCAGGCGCGTGTGCGTGCGTGCCCAAGATCCCGAGAGGAGAATGGAGGAGAAGGGATTGCGGCGTGACCATACCCCCTGGGGGGTGATTTCTCACTTTCTATCTCTCTGTCTCTCTCTGTCTTCCTGGTGAGCACATGCGCCCTATAGCAAAAAC